AATACCTGTGAAAGGTGTCTAAAGAAACAAATAGGCCCAGAAGGTAAGTCTAGTGTTTACATACAGACCCAGACTGGCAGCTGAGCTGTCCAATAAGAGGGAAGCCTTCTCGTAGCCCAGTTTCCTGTGCTGCTATAACCTCAAGCCTTTCACACATCTGTCTGCTGACAATCTGATTCTAGGTGCACTAGCTCGTCATCCAGTATTAATGAAGCAGTTCCTTTGTATTAGTGAGGCAGTCACAAAGAAGCAGACGCTGTACACAATCTGGAGAGACTTTCATATCTGAAGTCTGAAAACCCATAAAAGTAGAGACAATGCTCCTTAGGTTTGCTTTCAGCTTTTGAGTACTGGGCTCTTTAGGATGCAGAAAGCGCTGGAAAAGAGGAGCTGAAGACTAAGTCAAGCCTGGGAAAAATAGAAGATCTGGGCACCTACAAAGGATCAGCAATGAGAGCAGAAATCGCCCCTCCTGAGGCAAGGGCCTGACCTTTGCCCCTGCATACCTCCCTGTTCCCTCCCACAACAACCCTTCCCTCGTCTTATTCCTGTCCGCTGCGTCCTTAACCCACCCTGGCTCGCCCAATTTAAGGGTCCTTCCCCCTAATTCCCTATTGCGATGTCAGGGAGGCCTTCATGACACCGGAACTCTAGGAAGAGACTTCGCTGACCTGTCAGCGGATCCAAAATGGCGGGGCCTAGTCCCAGGACCGGCAGCCGGTGTTCATGTCCAGCCCGCACCCCGGAGGCGTCTCCGAGCAGCTCTCCCGACTCTGGTAGCAGATGGGAGAAGAGAAGGAGCTCGTTTCCTGAAAATTGAGGCCGAAGTCAGGGTGGGAATGCACAGTCCGCCAGGATGAGTCGGCCGGGACGGACAGTGGAGCCGGCTACCTCCCCTGTCAGCTCACTGACGTGGTAACTAGCCTCAGTCTAGCCCGCTGCTTGGTAACTGCGCGAGTCCTGCTGGATGCAGCCAATCATAGCTTTGCACCGTGAAAAGTAGCATTCCAACCATCCAATCGGATAAAGGAAATTGGTTTCAGGAGGCGGGTAGTGCCTAAAGAGGCGAGATTACAAGGGAAAGGGTAGATCGGGGACAACCAACGGATACGAGTACTCTCTGAGTGACAGTTTAAAAATCCAATAAAAAATTAGGAACTGTGCTGGGCGGTTAGAGAGGTGGAGTTAGGTAGAGTTCGGTTGCAGTGCGCGGTTTGGCAGTGACTGCTGCGCATTACGGGCCAGAATTGGCTGGAGAGGGGCGGGGTCCGTTTTGAGGGCTTGAGCGGGCATCCTTATTCCCCTGTCCACGTACTATCAAAGTTACCTGGGCCAAGACCATGCTCCTTAAGGGATCACTCCTTTTCAAGGCAACTCTGGGCTTCCTTCATCCGAAAACAAGTCCAGTGATCCATTCCACACCCTCCTCTCCTCGCCCTCTCGTCCACCTTCCCCGTTGTGGCTTCTCACAGTTGTGTCTGTCACGTCCCAACTCTGTTTCATCGCCTTCTGCGCCATTCCCATTATCCAGAAATAAAGAAAATGGGAAGTGGCAGAAGCCATGGATATCTAATTTAAGTAGCAGAAGCCCTGGATATCTAAGCCTCTTCATTTTACATCATAGGAAACAGCCCCAGGGTGGAAGGCTGGGCCCAGGTTCACATAACTGGTAAATAGCAGAGCAGAGAGACAAACCCCTGGGTCTCCTTATCCCTAGGTCAACTCTTTTCACTGCCTTTTGTCACCTCTTATTCCTTAGTATATCGGGCTGTGACTCCCAGTCTGCCTCTGATACCAAGCCTTGGACAGGCCTTATCCACCAGGCAGAAAGCTAAATACGCTGCTTAGCCCACATTCTCAGTGATAGGAAACAGAAGTCTTTCTTGTTTGCCTTAGAAACGCTAAGGGGCCCGAGGGTTGGATGCCCACCTGTTTTCACTCTCTTGCCCCCAGCTGCCTCCTCCATTTGCAAGAGATGATAGAGGTTACTAAGCTATTTAGAATTACCTGTGTTACCCGGAAGTGAGAATGTGTGGGAAGAGAACAAGAGGATGGGTTTTCTCCTAGCAGACTGAAGCATGTAATTCTCAGCCTGTTTGAGACACTAGAGCCCCAGTGTCCCTGCAGACCTGGGGAGACTGCTGGGAGGCAGTGAAAAAAGATACCAACTCTTTCCATACTTCCTCCCAGTTATGGACAACTCAAGTCCAGGGAAGCTCCATAACCACATAGGAATGTAGTCTCAAAACCATACATCTAAAGACCATCCACATGCTACGATGCTCTAGTTTTTTGTTTTTTGGCTTTTTTGTTTTGTTTTGTTCTGTTTGTTTGTTTGTTTGTTTGTTTGTTTGTTTTAGAGAGGGAGTCTTGCTCTGTCGCCCAGGATGGAGTGCAGTGGTGCAATCTTGGCTCACTGCAACCTCTGCCTCTGCCTCCTGGGTTCAAGTGATTCTCCTGCCTCAGCCTACCAAGTAGCTGGGACTATAGGGGTTTGCCACCACGCTGGGCTAATTTTTATATTTTTAGAAGAGATGGGGTTTCACCATGTTGGACAGGCTGGTCTCTTAACTCCTGACCTCAGGGATCCACCAGCCTCAGCCTCCCAAAGTGTTGAAATTACAGGCGTGAACCACCACTCCTGGCCATAATACTCTATTGTAAAGCACCCATCAGACCTGGCATCAAACCTGAAGAACCCCTCAATAACTCCCTACACCTTCACCTTGGGCTTCTGGTCAGTGGGTCCAGCTGAGGATCTAGCCCAGGCGTCCCCAAACTACGGCCTGCGGGCCGCATGCAGCCCCCTGAGGCCATTTATCCAGCCCCCCGCCGCACTTCAGGAAGGGGCACCTCTGTCACTGGTGGTCAGTGAGAGGAGCACAGTATGTGGCGGCCCTCCAACGGTCTGAGGGACAGTGAACTGGCCCCCTGTGTAAAAAGTTTGGGGATGCCTGATCTAGCCTCTTTCACCCAAAAAGAGTCAGAAAAAGAGGATATACCATCACAGCACCTCTTTCCACATTACCTCTGAGCCATTTTTTTCCTCATTTGAAAATTGGAAATTGGTGTCCTGGACCTGTCTCAAATTGAGAGGTCCTGGAGAGCCCACTGGAAAATCCTCTAAGTGGGCCAAAACTTCCTGCTCACCCATATCCACTTCCACATACCACCAGAAATTCATCATTCTAAAAGCATGTGATTGTCCAACAGAGATGGGGAAGAAAGAGATGACAATTCCCTAGTCCCTCCTAACCACTAATCATCATCTTACCAGGCAGAACATCTTCCTCATAGATTTCAATGTGGCATATTCATTGATATTCTACAGTATGCCTGGGAATAATAGACATGGTCCTTACCTTCCTAAATTTTAGTCTCATAGTGGACAACACATAAGCTGATCCCTTCAATATGGTGGGTGGTGTAATAGAGGTTATACACAGAGGGTCATGGGAGCTAGAAGCTAACCTGAGAGTTCAGAAAAGGCTTCCCAGAGAAAACAAGGCCTGAGTGGAACATTGGAGGAGTAGAAATTCACAATATAAAGATGGGTTACTTTAACAGGAAGGGCCAGAGGTGTGCAGGAAACTACTAGGAAATTGGAGATGAAGACAAGGTCAGGTCCTGAAGGTCTTGTATGTCAGCTATACATACAAAAGGGAGCTTGACCTTTATCCTGAGGGCAATGGGAGTCACTGAACAGTCAATACATGACTGTTCAGATTTACCTTAGGGGCATATTGTGTGACTGAGCTTAGGCTCTTGGAGCACCCAAGCAACACATCCTAACTGGGAGAAGAGAAGGAGCCTGCTGCCTGGAAATTGAGGCAAAAGTCAGGGTAGGACAGTACAGTCTGCCAGGATGTTCCTTGGACATCGATCCTGTCCCTTGCAAATTCCTAACCAGCAGGCACCACACCTTGCCCACAGAACTTAACCTGGTACCACCAGCGGGAAACCAGCCCTGCCAAAGGAGGGAGAGCACAGCCCAAGCAAGACGACGGTGCAGACTGAAAGACAATTGGTCCATGCATTTGGAGTGCCCAGCCCAAGCCCTGAGATCCAGCAGGAACCTTCTCTTAATTGTTTTGTGCTGGGAGGGAGATGATAGTTACTTGTCCAAGTTCACTCGGTGATGGTGCAGTTCGTGGAATACCACTTTGGTTTGTCTCATTCCAAACCCTGCTGTCTCCACGAAGTCACCTTCCTTGGAGAAGAGGGGAGAAATGAAAAGGAGGAAAGATATGAAGAAAAAGGAACAGAAGGGAAGAGAAATGAGTGTTTAAAGTGGCAGAGGAGGGAGAGGGGTAAACAGCAGGAGCGAAGCGGCTGAGGAGAAAGAAGAGGAAAGAAAGGCGAGACGTAGGAGGATTGGAACAGAGACAAAAGGGAGGAGAGACGGACAGCGACAAGTGGAGAAAATCGGCGAAACTTGAGCAGCAGAGAAGTCTGAGCGCTGAGACCCGGCGGCCCCGTGCGCCTTCCCACCTGGCGCCGATCCACTTTGCTCGGGGTAGTGGCCCAGCCCCACTTCGCCGCCAGCCAACCCCTTTTAACTGGGGCTATCGGGACCACTCTACTCTCGCCCACTTGGCTCTGCCAAAGCGTCCTAGCCGGAGCGCGGTCTGTGCCACGTGGGGAGGGGCGCGGCCCAGTTACTGAGGAATGCTTCTGATTGGCCGGAGGGCGGTGTTCTTGGCGTCTCGCCGGTCAGACCCCTCCCTCAAAGGCGGGACCTGGAAATCCACAGCTGGAAAGGGCGGAACCCCGGCAGCGCAGCTGGAAAGAGGCGGGGCCTGACGCGCGCAGCTCGCCGCGGCGGGCTGGGGGCGCCCTGGTCTGCCATAAAGTGAATGGGCGCCTGCTGGGGGTGGCAGTACGCAGTGAGGCTCACTCCCTCCGCGAGTCCGGGAGCGCCAGAGCGGAGCGGCGGCCCGGGAGCAGGGGGGCTGCCCCCACTCCGGCCGGGTGCCCGGCCCCTGGCCCCTGCCTGCCCTCTAGATCGCCGCCGCAGCCGCTGCCGGGAGTCTGCCTGTTGCGGGACGCACTGTGAGTGTTTGACCATTTTCCGGAGAGGGGCTCATGGGGCCAAGGAACTATTGCTGGACCTCGGAATCCCTAAAACGGGACCTGGGGCAGCTGAACTCCGGTGTCGAGGGAACGGGTTGAGGCTGGGACGGCGGACTGCAGACCTGCGGCCAGGACCTGGGAAAAGGGGAACTCAGGGTAAGAACCAGGGAATAAAGAAGGAGGAGACTCGGAGGATCCAGAAAGAAGCCGGAGACTCGAAGCCAATATAGGGGCTTCACGAGGCAAGGAGTAGGGAGTCTGGAAACCATTACCAGAAAGCGCCCTGGAATCCCAGGGCACGGGGCAGGCGGCCAGGGAGCGAAAGGAGTTGCAGAGGCCCTGGCCAGCGGGGAAGCCGGCGGTGGCCCCCAGTTTGGGGGCAGTTGCGGTGCCCGACGCCCCTCGGCCCAGGCTCAGACAGACTCCAGGGGCTGTGAGCCGGGGTGCTCCTGGTCTCACACGCTTCTCTTCCCAGCTGCTCCACAGTTGGAATAGGAGCCGTGTTGTGAGAGCCTGGCAGCGACTGGGTCAGATGGCCGCTATGCGGGTCAGAGTGACCAGGCAGCAAATCTGGTGGATCTGGCTTGGAGTGTCTGGGCCCAGAGGGGTCCTGACTTGGGGTCGCCTCAGAATCGGACAGAATGTCCGCGGTGCACGGGGCTTGGAGCGGACAGAATGTCCGGGATAGCGAAGTGGGTCTCTCCGGAGCGGGCGTTGCGTCGGGCAGTGGCGGACAGAATGTCCCTGGCTGGGTGGCACGTCCATCTACCCGGCAGCGCCTGCCCAGCTGCTGCGTGTGCGATGGGGTCGGCTGCTGTGGGTCACCTCAAATCCCAGCTCACACTTTGCAAACTTGTTTCAGCTCCTTTGGGCTGCGAAGCTGCAAGCAGGGAGTGAGGGTAAAGGCTGCAGCCCGCCCTTGGGGTGAGGTGCGCTGGGACACATGCCCCCTTCAATTCAGAATAGATCAGAGCATCATTCTGTACTTCCAGAATCCAAATTTGAGGTGAGAAGGCTAATGAGGAGACTGCTAGTGGGAATCAAGACAAGGAAAGGAAGGAACAGGTGACAAAAGGCAATGGGAAAACAGGAAAGAGGTGGGCATAAGCCCCTGGCAGCCTCATTTGCCCTCAAATTCCAATACAATTGACCAGACACCTCTCAGACTCCTTGCTGGAGTGTCAGCCGACCGAAGCTCCTTCCCTACAGTGGGCAGGAGCCCAGGCCAGAAGAGAAACTACAGTCCCATTAGCAAAGAAAACCCTGTACCTGTTTCCCTTTTGCTTCCTCAGCCTTACCAGTCCCAGTACCACCCTGGTGGCTGAGCGGAGGTAGGAAGGAGGCTCATGGAATCCAGACTCTGGCGTCCAACAGGGGGCTATTTGGCCCTTTAAGTCTGGTTGGGAAGCATGTCTCAGCCCTACCAACCAGACAGGTTTACTTTCCCTGCAGCTGGGATACAGCCTTGACTTTGCTGGGCCCATACAGTAACCATCCGCCCTGATCCCGATTCTAACCAGATCTCAGTTTTCCTGAATAGAGCAGAGTAGGGAGAACAAGTCCATATAAGTGGGCAAGATAGCCCAGCTGGGGACTGAATTTTCACAAGGACAAGTCCAAGGCATTGTATTTAACAATGAGTAATCTAAACGGTGGTTTCAACCTTTCTCACCCTTCACCTATGGGTGACATACAATACGTATTCCCCACACTCCCATTTCATTCCTCAGTTCTAGAGTTTGCTTATCATTGGCTAGGATTCTCAACCTTTTTTTTTTCTTTGCCTTCTTTTGATAAATATAAAGACATACCACAGTTACACCCTTCACATTCTGATACACTTTTCAGGGGTATGTGCTCCCATTGCTGTGCTCCCATAAAATCACTGAAATTATAGGTGAAATGAAGGGCTCTGTGTCAGGAAAGGAATAGGGAAAGCATTGCAGATGGGTCCCTGAAGACTTTAGCCCAAAGTTGTGCTTTTGCCAAAAAGGCCAAAGAGGTGCTATCATAATGAAGATGATTGTAAACAAAAGAAAGAACCTTTTCCCACCCTTGCATAAAGCCATGTAGCTGAATGCATGCCTGATCACTGGCTCTCAGGAAGAATGTCATGGGCCTAGAGCAGGTCAGAGAATGGTTGGCAGAATGGGGAGCCAGGGGCTGCTGGCGAGAACAAATTTCAAAGTTTAGTCCTCTGGAAGGTGAAACAGGATGGAAATCTACCGCAATAATAAAAGGCCTACATATGCAGAAGAATTGCTTGCTCCCCAAATCTTGAAACTGGAGATGAGGAAGCCTCTTAGAACTGGAGTGATGCAAGCTCGGGATGAATAGGAAAACGTTCTTTGGCCCACAGTGGGCACGTACTTCCAGAGCTCATTTCCAGAGAGATGGTACAGGCAGGAAGTAGAAATGGAATCCTTCAGGGCTTGGGAGGATCAGCACATGTCAGAGTCAAGAATGGCTGCAGGGTGGGGGAGTGAGGCATGGAAAGAGCAGAATTAGGTGGTTTGAATCTCTTCAATCTGTGTAGCCTTAGATCCTGCCTTCTTAGACGTCTAACAGGGATAGGGACTCCTGCCATGGAGGGCAGTTGTGAGAGTTAAATGAAATCATGTCTGGGAAAGTGCTTTGCAAATGGAGAAGCACCACAGAAACATGAAGCACTGCTATTATGCCCAAACTCCAGAATCTTTGTTTGGAAGAATGGGACTGAGACTTAGAGCAGCCTAATCACATCCCTGATGCAGTCATAGGAGGGTTCTTTATGACAGATGGACCACCCTACCGTGGGCTTCAGATGCTAGCCACTACCCCTGCCCCTGTCCAAAAACTCTGGGGAGCTCCCCAGATGCTTAGCCAGTCTATCAGTCCAAATATCTCTGCCTGCCTCCTGCTCAGGGTTGGGAACATGGGCCCAGGACTTAGTTTCCGGAAGGGAGGGCAGGCACAGCAGGCTAGAGCTGACTTGTGGTGACAGAAGATGGAGCCAGCGGAATCGTTTCTTCTCCGTTCACACTAAATGATGCCTCCCAGACTAACCTGAGGATCCATTAGGTCCTGAGCTTTGGGGTTTCTAGGGTGTTCATGGCCACTGCCAGGGACTCATGAAAATAATGATGGGGAGGTCTAAAAAAACCCACAGTAAAAGAGAGAGAGAAAAAAAAGAATGATGGGGAGGAAAAGGAAAAGATCATCAGTGGGGTAAGAGTTAGGAGAAGGCAGAGAGGAATAACTTTCCAAACTCACCCTATCTCTCCTTTCCCATTGTCCTGCCCTGGGGCCTTTTTCACACCTTTCAGTTTATGGTTTCTCCTTTCCTATTTCTTCCCTGCCCAACCCATTCTGCTTACCATTGTCAAATAAAGGTCACAAAGATGCTGTTTTTGTCACACCTCTAGCTACAAGCCTCTGGTGAGACCCACTGCTTGGTGCATTGCTTCTCATAGTGGGGTGGGGTGGAGGAGGGCAGTAAGCGTGTGGGAGAGGCATGACACACAGGCTAAATGGGGCCCCTCTTCCTGGTGTGGGGATATCACTTGAAGATTGGGGGATGGGGATGTGCTTTATTTTTATATTAAAAGAAGTTTTCTTTTTATATGAAAATAAAACATTTTATATTAAAATATTTTATATTCCATGACTATAGTATGAAATAGAATGAAAAAATTTGCTTGCATTTTTAACATAAAGCTGGCGACTTCAAAACAATTTCATACTCGCGGCAGCTGTTTTAGGTCATGCTTCTAGTTTTCTATTAGATGTTGGTTTTAACTGGTCTTAGGGTTGGTTTGTTTGTTTTCCTTTTTGTGTGTGTGTGGAGAACAGGGTCTCGCTATATTGCCCAGGCAGGTCTCGAACTCCTGGGCTCAAGCTATCCTCCTGCCTCTGTCTTCCTAAGAACTGGGATTACAGGCATGAGTTACAGCGCCCGCTGGTTTTTTGTTTTTGTTTTTGTTTTTTTTATTTATTCAGGGCTGTGCCTCAGGGTGAATCTTAAGGGTTTTTGATGAAAAGGCTGGACATACTCTAGCCTAGACTTTGTCAAATCTGAACCACCACCCCTTGTCCCCCATTGAAGCCCCCCTCGGTTTGACTCATTTCTCTCTGCTGATCTCCCGTGGCCTACACTGAGACTCTGACTAACCTAGGCTCACCACTGCCCTCCCAACCTGCCAGCTTATTCCCAACACTGCTGATTATTTAGAAGGCCATACCCCCTCTCTGCCTCTTGAACTCCCAATTCAGTCACGTGCCTACATTCTCTGAGTCCCCAACACTTGGTACCACCTTCCATGGGCTTCCCTCTCTCTGATCTTTCACAGTCTGAGAATCAGACCCATGCAGTCCATCTTTTCCTCCTCTGCCCTGTTTGCCTCCCTACACTGCAGACTCCTAAAAGTTAGGGTCTGTGCACCACTGTTCTTGGGGATCTCTCTTAACACCTAACACTTGCTGAAGGAAGGAAGCAAGGAAGAGCAGGAAGACTGTGGAGTCATTTCTCTGATTCCTGATTCATCCCTTGATAACTTGAGTACTTCAAATCTTTGCTGCCTCCACCTGAGTCTTGGGGCTGTAAGCAAATGTGTCTCAATTTGCTCCCATTTGCACATTGCAGTTCGGCAGACCACAGAGTCCGACTGCTCAGCGTCCCTAATGAACATGCGACCATGTCCACTTAAGGGCCTCACTTCAGTTTCATGTTTATAAGATGAAAACATCACAACTCCAGCTCCTCTTATATCTTCTCCAGTTAGCCCCTGAAAGAGAAAGCCTTTCTCCCATTTGAGGTCCAGATTATGCCTCCAGCCTCAGGCATCATTATTGCAACCGATCATGGGCTCTCACTATCCCTGGTCTTCCCCTCTGGCTTCAGGACTTACGTGGGTCCACATGACAGCTGACTTATTGCCATGGCGTTGTGTCCCTTGGAAACCATGGCCTCTCTACTGTGGCCTCCCTAGCCTAAGATCTGCTCTCTACCTTCTTATGTCCTGGATATTTCATTCTTGCTGCATGCATGACCAGGTTTCCTGTTATTCCAGCCTGTACTGCAGAATCAGAGCATACCTATAGCCCCTCTGTACTCCCTGGGCCTGGGATTGCCACCCTGACCCCAGTGGGACTGGGCCACACATCCCTAGCAGGCTGTGGCAGAAAGGCTGGGGTGGAGCTGGCAGCCCCCTCCTAGAGCTGAACTCACCATCACTGTTATCTCTTGACTCTGTCTGTCCCTGCCTGGGTATTTCTTACTAGCATCAACCAATCCTGCAGCTTCCAGACCTACTGCTTGTTCCTCCCTATCCACTGAGTGAAGCAAAGTCCCTGGCCTCAGTCCCAACTCCCTAGCTTCCTGACCTCCAGCAGTTTGGGGGAGCTTAATCTTCAGCCAGCCTGTCTCCAGTTCAGACAACAGCTTGGCGCCCCCAGCCTTTGCCTGACCAACCCACCCGGACGTGAGTTGGCTAGAGATCTATGCCCCCACCCTTCCATCCCTCTATTGCCTGCCTGGCTTTACTGTTCTTTCCCTCTCTCTTCAATTTCACTGTCAGGGCCCTTCTCAGCCATGGCTCCTCTCTCTGCTGTTACTAGCCCATGCAGGAGCCTAAAGGCTTCCTTCTTTCCTTTACCAGTCTCTGATCCCTAAAGTGGCTCCCAGCTTAGGGTACGCTGCCCATGTTGCTGTTACCTTGCTGACTGGGTCCTCCATGCTCAGGACAGAGTGTTCACAGCATGTGTGACCTATCTCTCAGCAATGCAGTGTACTCACCTTCATTCGCTAGGGAAACACTACACTAGAGGATACGGAGTCTGCGGAGATGATGACCCACTCAAGGAAGGTCAGACACAGGGATAAGATCTTAGCCACCACTCCACACCCAATGCCAACTCAATGCACAGCTCATAGAATGTGCTAAATAAACATCTGTTCGATGAGTGAGAAAAAAAAATTACTCAGGTAGAGTTTTATCCCTACTCATTTTTACATGTTATGTTTTTATCTAAACCTTATAACAATACTGAAGGCATGTAGGGAAGCGATCATAAACTTCCTTTTAGAGATGAAGAAATATGCCTGGAGAGGTAAAGTAAGTTGCCGAGGACACATAGCTAGTAAGTTGTAGAGCCAGGATATGAACCTAGATCTGTTGACTCCAAACCTAATCTCTTTAGGCTATACCAGATGACTTTCCTGAGAGGGGCCTGGGCACCTCCTGCCCCCCTCCCCACCCCATCCTCCAGCTCCAGAATTCTCATGCTTTCTCCTCACTCAGCAGCCATCCAGTGCAGGACACTCCCCTGGCCCCCTTGGCCTCCTCCTCCCCCACACAGAGTCCTTAGCTCCTGGGACTGAGAGCTGAGGTTCAGAGGGGCCAGGGAGGGGTGGGGGGAAGGGTAATAATGGCTAGCTCCAAAACAGCCCCGGCAGCTGTCCCTGTCACAGAGAGGAGACTGTGTGACGGTGCATGTCTGTCTGCCTGGATGTGGCAGCGCATGTGTGGGAGAGTGTGTGTTTGTGTGCCTCTAGCTCCACGTCCAAGTGCTTATTATGTCTGATTGGGGGAGCCTGTGTGTGTCTGCACGTGTGTCTGTCTGTCTCTGGGAACACGTAGCCTGAACTCGGCTTTCTGGCCTCGGCTTTTCCTCTGGCCCATATCCCTTCTCACCCTGCCTCCCTCTGCTGAAACGGAATGAAAGCAAGATGCAGGTATAGAATGCTTGTGGGAGGCAGGGGCTGGGGGGGTGCGGAGCAGAGGAATTTGGAAAACTGCAAGTCTGGAGCCAAAGCAAACTGGAAGGCTAGGTGGCAAGTGTGGGGCTGCTTTTCCCACAGGTAAGCCTCTCTCTGGGTTTTTTTCCCAGCTCCCTGTTGTTCCCATGACCTCTAGAAAAGTCAGGGGCATGATTTGCATTTCAAGGGCATCTTGGGTATGAAGTAAGGGGAGACTTCAGAGCACCCCTTTTTCCAGCTCTCACTTCTAACCTTCCTCCCTCATCTTCCCAGCTATTTGGGAAGAACCACTAGCCAAGGCTGCCATAGTTCCCTCCCAGGGACATCTGTCTTCCATCAGAGCATTGTTGGCCAAAGATTTCCAGCCCCAAGCCTCCTGACCTGACCTGGAAGGGGTCAGTCAGTAAGCTAAGCACACCTCCAGTCCTGGCCTGACTTCTTCTTCCTTCCCGGGGTCCCGCCAGCCCTGTCTCTCCACATCCAGTAAAAGGTCCAAGAGCTAGACCCCTCTGCCTGTGGAAAGAGCAGGGACGGTTTCTCAACCTCCTGCCTTGACCTCGGTTCTACCCCCAACCTGGCTTGAGAGGTGGGTGGGGAGTGGGGGCACAGCTGTTATCTCTGAGCTGGTTGAAGGGGGCATTACCATGTGCAAATACAGGCCGCTGCCCATCTGCACCTCCCTGAGAAAGGCTCCTAATAAATCCAGAGCAGCCAAGTGGCACACATCTCAATCTAGGCTAATCCACCACATTAATGCCATCCTGCGCAGCCTGCATTAAGCCCCTGTTAATGGGGAGGGGGTGTCAGGAGCAGAGAGACCCCTCCCACTCAGCCCTCTACCCCTTCTCTCTGTCCCTAGCCTCCTTCTGTTCTCCTCTAAGAGGCACCCGGAGTCTTGAGCCCTAATATTGCCCATTTCCCTTCCTCCTCACAGTCGGGTCCTGGGAGAGCAGGCAGAAAAGGGGACCCTGCAGGAGAAACTTGGACAGGGACCCAGGGAGGCTCCTGGGCAACGTGAGGCTAGGTTTGGGATAGGAAGTATGAGTAGGAAGGTGGTCTTATGAAGTTCCTGCTACACCCTGGAGCGGGCTTGGTAGAGGCTGTGCATGAGCGGAGCCGTCACTGGTAGGATGCAGTGTATGCCGGTGCAGGCATGAGAGCAGGTCCAGCCCAAGCACCCAGTGGCTTTCATACTTGTGTTTGATCTTGTTACCCTTCTTTCAAATGAAATCTCTTCGGAAATCATGAACAATCAGGCTGGGCGTGGTGGCTCATGCCTGTAATCCTAGCACTTTGGGAGGCCAAGGCGGGTGGATCACCTGAGATCAGGAGTTTGAGACCAGTCTGACCAACACGGTGAAACCCCTTCTCTACTAAAAATACAAAAATTAGCTGGGCATGGTGACACATGGGAAGTGGAGGCAGGAGAATCGCTTGAACTCTGGAGGTGGAGGCTGCAATGAGCCAAGATCATGCCACCGAACTCCAGCCTGGGTAACAAAGCGAGACTCCATCTCAAAAAAAAAAAAAAAAAAAAAGAAATCATAAACAAAACAGACCAAAGCAGTGCCTGCCCTAGCTGAAGCAGACCCAAGTAAGGCCAGGCTAGAACTGTAGCTGAGTCCCTGAGGGGATCTTGAGGGAAGGCCCCAAAGAGCACAATGTGAGAAAGCAAGCATTCTGAGTTGACTGGATCAGAAAAATAAAAATAATAAAATAAAAATAAAAAGCAAACAAGGAAAAAGCATTAGGAGTCTCACAGACCTGGTGCAGCTCTCAATCCCACTGCTTACAAGCTCTGTGATCCTCATCACGTTCCTTCACATCTCAGTTTCCTCACTGGAAAAAGGATGATCATACTTGACGTATCCTTGTGAGGGGAGAAAGATGAGGTAAAGACCCACAGTAAGTACACATAAATGATAGCAACCATTATTATTAAGGGAGAAATGTCAGGTCTGGTTCAAAGTACAATCTATCCTAAGGACAGTGAGTAACAGACATCTGGTCTGTGTCTCAGGTATGACTAGCTGAGGGCCAGGTATGAGTATAGGGTAATCTTGTACATTCAGGTGAGAAGGATTGGAAGTTTTTACGGATGTAGTATGGGGTATGTGGTGTGCTATAGTGTAGATTTTTTTTTTTTTTTTTTTTTTTTTGAGACAGTGTCTAGCTCTGTCACCCAGGCTGGAGTGCAGTGGCCTGATCTTGGCTCACTGCAACCTCTCCCTCCCGTGTCCAAGCCATTCTCCTGCCTCACCCTCCCGTGTAGTTGGGATTACAAGTATGCACCACCCTGCCCAGCTAATTTTTATATTTTTAGTGGAGACAGGGTTTTGCCGCATTGGCCAGGTTGGTATCGAACGCCTGACCTCAAGTGATCGACCCGCCTCGGCCTCCCAAAGTGCTGGGATTACAGGGGTGAGCCACCGCACCCCTCTTATAGTGTACACTTTCATTCAATAAATATTGAACCCCAACTGTATACCTGGCACTGTTCTAGTTCCCAGCAGTAAACAAAACAAAGCCTAGTTTATATATCTAAGCAGAGAACGTCTCAGCATGTACCTCTTCCCCCTTAGGCTGCTATTTCCCGATTCTATCTTAGGGAGCCACACACAGGGGTAGCTTTATGGCTGAGAAAGGCGGCAGGGAAACGCTGCTGGGACCCAGCTAAGCTGGAGATTCTACCCCCACTACCCTGGTCTGTCTTCTCTCGCCTCCACAGCCCTCCCTCCATGGAGTTCGGCCTGCTCAGCGAGGCGGAGGCCCGGAGCCCTGCCCTGTCGCTGTCAGACGCGGGTACTCCTCACCCCCAGCTCCCAGAGCACGGCTGCAAGGGCCAGGAGCACAGCGGTGAGCGCGCCCCCTTCCGAGGGTGGAGGAGATAACAGCTTCATCTCCAGTGCGGGTGGGACCCCGGCTGGGCAGCCCGGGTGGGAGCCAGCGGGTGGTTCAGGAGGTCGCCGAGCCGGAGAATCCGTGCAGGCTTGGGCGCCCTGTGACCTGCCCCCACCCTGGCTCCCAGACTCGGAGAAGGCCTCAGCTTCGCTGCCTGGAGGCTCCCCCGAGGACGGCTCGTTGAAGAAGAAGCAGCGGCGGCAGCGCACGCACTTCACCAGCCAGCAGCTGCAGGAGCTGGAGGCGACCTTCCAGAGGAACCGCTACCCTGACATGAGCACGCGCGAGGAGATCGCTGTGTGGACCAACCTCACCGAGGCCCGCGTGCGGGTATGCCCTACTGATCCGTGACTCGCACCCGCGCGGGCCCTCCACGGGCAGCCTGAGACCCTGAGGCCGGCAGTTCCGTCCCACCTGCCCCCGGCCCGGGGCCCTGGCCGCTGGCCCCCGGCTCCCGGCCACAGCCCCACGCGGCCTCCTGGCTGCCAACCTCCAGCCTCTGCTTGCAGTGCTCCCTACCACTCAGACCGCGCACTTCTTCGGCCCTGACACCGTCTCTCCTTACCTTCTCCACCTCTCCTCGACCCCATCCTACTGTCCCCCCAGACCCTGGCGCCGATGACTCAGTCCTGCCGCGCGCGCCTTCTATTCTCCGACCCCGACCCCGACTCAGTGCGCTGCTCCCCTCCCACCCCGTCTCCAGCCACCTCATCTCTTATTCACCACACTGCCCGGCTGGAAGCCCCGTTGGGGTGGGGTGGGGTGGGGTGGGGTGGGGTGGGGTGGCCCGCCCTCCTGTCGCTGGGACCTGGCCCCGAGCCCTGACCGCCTTTCTCCCGCGCTCGCAGGTATGGTTCAAGAACCGGCGCGCCAAGTGGAGGAAGCGCGAGCGCAGCCAGCAGGCCGAGCTGTGCAAGGGTGGCTTCGCAGCGCCGCTTGGGGGGCTAGTGCCGCCCTACGAGGAGGTGTACCCCGGCTACTCGTATGGCAACTGGCCGCCCAAGGCGCTCGCCCCGCCGCTCGCCGCCAAGACCTTCCCGTTCGCCTTCAACTCGGTCAACGTGGGGCCTCTGGCTTCGCAGCCCGTCTTCTCGCCACCCAGCTCCATCGCCGCCTCCATGGTGCCCTCCGCCGCTGCTGCCCCAGGCACCGTGCCAGGGCCCGGGGCCCTGCAGGGCCTGGGCGGGGCGCCCCCCGGGCTGGCTCCGGCTGCCGTGTCCTCAGGGGCTGTGTCCTGCCCTTACGCCTCGGCCGCCGCCGCTGCCGCGGCCGCCGCCTCCTCCCCCTACGTCTATCGGGACCCTTGTAACTCGAGCCTAGCCAGCCTGCGGCTCAAAGCCAAACAGCACGCCTCCTTCAGCTACCCCGCGGTGCACGGGCCGCCCCCGGCCGCCAACCTCAGTCCGTGCCAGTACGCCGTGGAGCGGCCGGTATGAGCGGCCCCGCCCGTGGATCAACCCCGAGGGTGGGGGCGACGATTCGCAGCCTTAGCGGACTGGGGTCGTCTTGACTGGCTTGCCCCGCTCCAGGGTCTGAAATGGGTGTTTGGGCAGCTGGCGTGGGGGTGGTGGCCGGCTCAGGAGAGGGCCTTCCCCCTCCCAGCCCTGAGGGGTGGACTGGGCCCTATACAGAGACCGCGCCCCTGGGACTAAGGCCAGGAACAGGGACCAGCACCCCGGGGGCCAACTCACCCTTGGCCCATCCCGCCTTCTCCAGGCTTCCCCTCCCTGGTTTTCAAAGATAAATGAAATAAACGTGCGCGGACTGTCGAAGGCCTGATGATTCAGAGTTGCGGTTGAGTCCTCTTCCCTTCATCCTCCCCCACTGTCTACAGGCGAGCTGGATGTACAGGAACGAGGTGAGGGTCCAGGCTTCTAGGGATTCAGTCCCACTCACCCCTCTAGTCCAGAACCGGGCAGCCGGGGATTGCCTGGAGCAAAGAGGTGTGTGCGTGCGCGGGGCGTGGGAAACCAGCTACCTGGCTGGCGTCGGCCACAGCCGGTGCTGCGGCGCCACCTCGTGGTCTCAGGGAGGCTAGCTGGTAGTTCTGGTCTGCAACGCTTCGTTGTAGGTGTCAGCTCTGCATTTCAGAGAGCCTATGACTTTAAAGTTACTCCGCCTTTCTCCACCTGTTTCTCACTGTTCCTATGAGGGGCTTGGGCCTCTAACAGCAATAAAATTCTGGTCTGTAACAGACATTTATTAAGTGCCTACCAGGCCTAGGATTCTTTCAGTGTCTGTGTGTGTGCCTCTCACCCTTCCATGCACCCTCAGGCTTCCCCCCTGCCGATCATCCCACTGGCAGCAGCCTCCTGCCATCACAGCGGCCCTCTTTCCCCCCCAAATCCCAAAACTCTCAAAATTTAGTTGAAATCTTCAATTAAAAAAATAGAGCAAGAAGAAGAAAGATTTTTAAAAAAATAGAGCAAGAAGAAGAAAGATTTCTGGATAGAAATATATCCTCCGTCCCACCCCCCATCCCAGGGCCTGCTTGGCCTTCACATTAAAAACAGAAGCATCAAAGTAACAGACCACACCCCCATCCCAGGGTCACCTTTCTTGTCTGTCAAAAATTCCAGCCACCTTGGGGCACACATCCTCTGGGGAAACCATGCAGGTAAGGCAACCTAATCATTCTCCCAAAACTAAGCCCAGCCTCTTAGTGCCCTGGAGAAGAGAGAGCCTGGAGCTTCATTTTTCTCTCCAACCCTTCACTGGCTCTTTGTCTTGGCTTTGACCTTGGGCCTGATGTAGGCCTGTCTGAAGAAGTGGGCAAAGAGAATGAAATAGGTCATGTACAAGATGGAGGACCAGAATAAGTGTTCCATCGTGGTGTTGCATCCTGGCTCCTGCCTCCAGATGTATGACAGGATGCCAACAATGGCTCCTACAAACATCTGCAGGATCTGCAGGCTGGTGATGAGCATGGGCAGCATCTTGGGGGGCTTCACATTGGCAGCCTTCAGAGTGTAATAGGTGTACATGATGGCATGCACACCAAAGTTTACAGTCATGAACCAGCCTCCTGCAGGCACTTTGTTCTTGTATCCAAAGCTTGTGTACACCAGCACTGTGCTGTGGTGGTACCAGTGGATAAAGATGAGAGGCCGCTTACGCAGGATGATGAAGGCTGTGTCTCCTGCGAGATGGAGAATCATAGCTGGCATACTGCCCAGTGCTGGGACCACAACCTGCACTGGGTGCGGGGACATGGGAGAAATTCCGAGGGGAGGAGAGGGGGGTCTTTGTGGCAGAGAATCTGTAGAGGGACTTGGGTGAGAGATGTTATTAGGACCCAGGGGTAGGAAAGGGACTCTCCATGGGATGGTGAGGGGAGGGCCCTGAGGAGGGATGCAGTTCACAAGGCACCAGAGAGACAAAGCCTTGCCACTCACCGAGTTCTATGATCTTGCTGAGGAGAAAGACCCCGGACCAGAATTTGACTACGGAATGTTCAAGGAAGGTGGAGTAGCACACGGTTGGTTTTAGGCCCCCAGTAAGCAGCACAGCCCCCATCAGGGCCCATGTCCGCACTGCCCCCATGATACTGAAATGGGACAAAGGAAGATGGTGTCAGCATCATCCCCAGGCACCGATCCACCTTTCCCCTGGAAGGGTGGACAAGTCATTGTGTTCCAAGCTCTCCTGCCTCCCAACCTGTCCATGGGAGATGGGTCAACGCTCCTGAGATCCTGGGCCAACCAGTAGTCTAGAGAAGATGAGGCCAACCAGTAGTCTAGAACAGAAACATCAGGGAATGCAAGGGGATGGGATTGAAAGTTAAGGAATGGGGTTCTTGGGAGGGGGTCGGAGCCTGGGAGGAGATGCAGAGAGGGATAGGGGAAGACTGAAGGAGTTTGGGGAAGAAAATATGGGGAAGTTATTGGAGGGTCTTGAGAGAGGGTATTAGGAGCTGAGAACATTAGAGGCTGGAGAAATCTGTTGCGAGTACAGACTTTATGAACGCAAGAGGGACAAAGCAGAGACCACCACGTCAGGGTCTGAAAAAGAAGGAAAACAGGATAATATAATAGAAGAGGGTCGAGGCTGGGAGGGGAACTAAAGCTGAAAGAATGAGATGGGAAGAGTGTTACAGGGCGACTTAGGGACAGGATGGAGGTTGATGCAATCTGGAAAGCTTTAAGGGATAGAATGGAAGTCTAAGATCTAGAGAAAAAGGCAGGGAGTGGGAAGGGTCTTACCTGAAGATTGCAAGGCAGAAGGACCAGAGGAAGAGAGGCCCCTGCAGGTTGAAGCCCTTGCGTTCCTTCATGTAGTTCTGCCCCACAGCGATGAGCACCAGGTAGATCAGGGCTATGGGGAATGAGGTTGCCCTGGCAAGCAGAAGGCAAAGGGGATGGGCTCATGGGTGGTGCTGACTAGAGAAATGCCCACTCATCTCTCCAGCTGAGTGCTCTGGGTTGGAGCCCCAGTTCTGCCACTTACTAGCTGTGTGACATTGGAAAAACCAACTTAACTCTCTGAGCCCTGGCTTCCTCGTTTGTAAAGGGGGAATAATACATCTCTCCTGGCAGTATTGATGTATACAAAGTACCTAGCACAGGGTAGGGGCTACGTCCAAGGTTTCTGTGATTATTGCTCTCTCAGTGAGGTTGGAGGTGGGTGACAGGTGTCTGGCCCACACCTAGAAGCAGCCCAGGACTGTGGTGTAAGAAGAATGTGGCAATGGCTTCTCCCTAGTTGGGTCATGGCAAATTGGCTGAAGCATAAAGTCAGCCCACGGAACCTCTGGGGAACTTTCGGGCTAGGCCAGGAAGCTTCTTCCTGGGGAAAGCTTGGAAGAGCTCCCTGTCTTTGTCTCCTTCTCCACAGCAGAAACGGTGGAGCAACTGGGGAATGACAGGGTAACTGTGAAGGGCAGGCTGTCCCCAGGCCCCACACTGTGCACACACGCGTGCACACACAGCAACAAAGGACAGGGAAGTCAGCTAGCAAGGCTTCAGATCAACCTCATGCCTCCACGACCAGTTCTCACTACACGGTCTTTGGCTTCTGTATCTTTCCACGTTCTTCTCCCCCATCCTCTTATTACTGCGTTATTTCTTTCAGCTCTAATCTCTTTGAGGTGCCACACTACCTGCACCTGGGACAACGGTAGTGTGGAGCCAGTATGAGGGAGTCCGATAACTTTGCTCTGTAAGAAAATCATTCCAAGCATTCAATGCCACCCCCTCGCGTCCCCGCCCCAGGGCCCTGGCATGGCCTTTCCCTCTCCCCAAGTCTCACCAGTACGCCTCCAGAAAGGGCCGCAGGCCCTCGAGCAGCTCGAAGTTATAGGGCTGGAGAAGCTGATTTACTTCGTGTGAGACATTCATGGCTGTGACCATCTAGTTTTGCAGACGTCGAGGTCCAAAGCTTGGAGGCGCTAGGTGAAAGGCTTGGGGCGCCAAGGATGGAGTGAACCTCGGGGCGAGATGGAACAGAGCCGAGACAGACGGAACCCCTGGGCAAGGCGAAGAGGGCATCGGACCCAGGCACGTGCGAGGCGGAGCAACCAGCTCTCCCCAGCGCAGCCACTGAGATATATAACGCCGACTTGCAGAGCTGCGGACCTGGACCGCGCGCGGACCCCTCCCTGCGCCCCACCACTATCCAATCTTGACCAGGATACGCCTCTGTCCCGCCCCTGGGCCGCAGTCCGCATTCTGATTGGTCATTCTCAAGCCCCCCCCCCCCCCCGCCTCCTTCCCGGGCGCTTTACACGCCCCACCCCAAGTCCGGTCGTAGGCGGTCGCCCGCCCACTTTCCCAACAAGTCCATCCCATCCTGCTGCCTCGCGGGTCCCTGGACTAGCCAGTCTTCCCTTGGCACTGTCAACCGTGGCCGTCGCCTCAGTTGGCTTTAATCTTGAACTGCTTAGCAGTGAGGAGAGAGGTGTCCTTAGCCTTTGGTGCTCCCATCCAGAAATGGAGGAGTCAGTTTCTAGGCTCCCTGAGATCCTTGGAAACCCAGGCCCGCGATGAGGAAATATGAACGTGGGCAACGCAGAGCTTCTCCTGTAGTCCCTTCAACCTCCTAGCTTCGAGTCTGCGGTTGTGGGTGGGTGGAAGGAGACTAATTTTATTTTATTTTATTTTATTTTATTATTATTTTTTTTTTTTTGAGACGGAGTTTCGCTCTTGTTACCCAGGCTGGAGTGCAATGGCGCGATCTCGGCTCACCGCAACCTCCGCCTCCTGGGTTCAGGCAATTCTCCTGTCTCAGCCTCCTGAGTAGCTGGGATTACAGGCATGCGCCACCATGCCCAGCTAATGTTTTGTATCTTTAGTAGAGACGGGGTTTCACCATGTTGACCAGGATGGTCTCGATCTCTCGACCTTGTGATCCACCCGCCTCGGCCTCCCAAAGTGCTGGGATTACAGGCTTGAGCCACCGTGCCCGGCGGGAGATTAATTTTAATGAATTTTATTGTTGAGGTTGTTGTTGATGTTTGGGTTGTTGAGGCTGTTACGGTTTCTTTACAGTTTCCTGAATTCCGGAACTGCTACAGACTGACATTCAGTAATAACCGTGGAGAGAGGAAATGGAGTCACCACCTGGGATTCTGGAATTACTGCCTTCAGGTTTCCTGGAGGCCTCCTAGGGTTTAAGGATGGGGAGAGCCAGCGCATCACCCCAAGGCCTGCTGTTTTATCTCCTGAATCAAAACTACTTCTTTCTCACCTGTGTAACCAGCCCTAAAGAAATAAATGTTCTACAACTTCTAAAGTTTTACTTGGCTGTCCCTTATTTCTTTCCTAGGTTTTATGAAAGTGAAGGAGAAATCCAAGCAGTTCGAGATAAGGTGGAGATTTGCAAAATGTGCTAAGAAACATAGACATAAAATAATTAAAATCAAGATGTGGGTATAAACGGCCATGTGCAGTAAAGTTCTAGAGCCAGAGGATCCAGGTAAGAACCCCAGCTCTACTTCCTGAACCTCAGCCACTGTCTGGGAGGGTGTCGTGGAAGTCCTATTGGTGCCATCTAAATGAATCAAAAGTGCATCTGTTTTTCTCTGTACCTCATCACCTCTCACCTGGTCACGTTACCTGGTTGCACCACCTCCTTCTCTAATATGGTGCTTCTCCTCTTCACTACATTGCAATCAGAAAAGAATTCCTATTCCTGCCTGATTACCAGATTCCTGAGCCTCAACTGCAGAGATTCTGGTCGAGTAAGTGGTCCCAGACTGTACTTTGAAA